ATACTGATAACGATATGTATATCGTTATGGATTGTAGAAAATGAAATTTAAGTCGTTATGTACAGAAGAAAATCAAATGTAAGATTTACAGTAAAACAATGAAAAGAATAGCGAACAATGCCTTTACCAACTTACATTTCACTCAATTTAATACAAATAATGAGTAGTGAGAAAAAGATTGAGAAGTAGCCCATATCAAATATCTAATCCAATGATAAAATGAATTTAAAATCATTATTGACAAATGAACACCATAAACATAAATACAACAACATGAAGAAATGATTCAAAAAAATTGAGAAAAAAAAGAAATCAAATATTAAAAATTTATAATAACTTCTCTTCTCCAAATGCCCAACAAGAATATTGCAAGATTTTATTAGTCACTTCAAACAAATGAGTGTTCATAGGAATGAGAATGTAGAGCTTAAGAAAATGAAAAGGGGTTGCATACCTATAGAGCCGATTTATGTAGAAGAAATGGAAGTGGAATTCAATTATGGTTAAATGGAAAATGAAATGGGATTTAGAACAATAATGTGTTTTTGTATATAAGGACACTTTAGTCCTTTACAAATTCTATTTTCTATTTTTTTTTATATATTTAGGCATTCTAACTAAAAAAATATGGATGTTGGACTTTTTAAACAAATATTTGGTTTGACCAAACCTTTTAAATGAAATCCCCCAAAAATTTCCCATGAGCAGTTTTCTTTTTCTCTCGCTTGAACAATCTTCCCCGACTTCAACATTATTCGCCGTCTCTCATCTCTTCTCCTTGCTGCCATTGAAAGCACACAATGAAGCAAAAGTAGTAGTTGTTTTTTGGGTTGGGTATTTTTATTTTTCATTTCCTAATTTGTTCTTTTGAGTGATTTCAAGTTTGTGAGGGTTTAGCTTCTATTTCCTCAATAATGGTGGTTATTAATGTTGCACGGGTATATGTCATCTTACAAAATGAAAATTTTAGAAGAGGGATTTTGCTTGATTAGGCTACAGGAGTAGTGATTGGAGAAACAATAGTTATTGAAAAATAATGTTTCAATTTTGCATAATGTGACTTTGCGTGGTACTAGAAATGTTTCTAGGGACAGACTTCCAAATATTGGTGATGAGGTTCTAATTGGGGTAGGCATTTTGTGTACTATGAAACGTTAGAATTGAAGATGGAGCTAAAACTGGTACAGAACCTGTGGTATTTAAACATGTTCCCACTACTATAGGAAATCCATCTAAATCGATTGGTGGGAAAGATAATCCAATTAAGCTGGATAAAATTCCCAGTTTGACTATGGATCATGCATCTGATATATTCAAAATCATCTGATTACAAAATATTCAACAAGGAAAGAAGAGATTTTAGCTCTTACCACTCGAAAGCATCTAATTCAGGATCGGCAATCAATTTCACAGAGAAAATATTAATGTGTTTATTGTTTGAATTACTATATGTCAACAGGATGCATACACGAGGATAGGGACCTAATCTGCCAAATTTATATATATGTAGGGACTGTTGAAAATATTGTTCAAAGTTGAATAAAAAACGACTGTGAAAAAATGTGGAATGAAATCAATATTGGAGGCCAAAATGCAACCGCATAGGCAAAACTTGGCGCGGTCGTGTAGGCCATGTCAGGGATTAAAATCCCTATCTGAAGATAACTATGCGATCGCATAGAAGGCCAAAAGAGCTATTAGTGACCGTTATGTTCAAATTTTTGGTGGCTTTTGGAGGGTTTTTGGCACCACTTCGTATGACCATGTCTCTTGGCTATATATAGGTGGTTTGTGATCATTATAATGTTGTTGAAAAAATACAAAAACCATAGTCATATTCAATAACAAAATCATTCCAAAAACAATAAGAAATCACAATTGTCTTCATCATATTCAAATCATGCTTTAGAGTTCTTCAAGTTTTGGTGAATTACACTTAATGCTAGAGTGTTAATTCTTTACAAGACTTATTTAAATCCTACAAATCATTTTTCTTAATCCCTACAAGCATTATTTCAATCCAAGAGGGGGAAAATATAGTTCAAGGACAGCGATATCGTGATCAAGCCTTTAGTTTTTCATCTTTGCAATTGATTCTTGGTTTTGTGTATTTTATTTTCTGGTTTGGTTCGTGGTTTTTCATCCCTATTCCCTTTGGTAGAATTCATACAATTTCCCAACAATCTCCAATTATATCTTTTAGATGGAGAACGAAAGCACGACGGCAACAATCAAGTTGATGAATCAAGTTCAGTTGGATAGTTTTGATGGCACGAACTTCACGAGATGACAAGATAAGTTGAAGTTCCTACTAACAACATTGAAGATATTTTACACACTTGATTCGGAATTGGCGCCATTACCGAAATCTACAAATGGAGAAACTGATGCGATAAGGGTCGAAAGATAAAAGCCCCAAGAAGATGAACTCATATGTCACGGTTACATTCTGAATGCATTATTGCAGGGACGAACCCAGTTAAGGCCTAGTACAGGCAAACGCATGCACTGCACTGGGTTTTGGGCCTCCCCAAATTTTTCAGCAACCTAATACCAAAAAAAAAAAAAAAACAAATGGGCCAATTATTTGGCCCAAAGTGTATGATACAAGCCATGCACCTGACTCAAAAGTGGAGAATACGAATGCCCCTCACTCCTCAGCCCCTGCATCCACGCCGACAACTGCATCCACCGTCCACGCACCGTCGAAGACTCATTCATCCCCCGAACCACATAACCAGGTGCCCAGCATCTAGCATTCATCTAGTAGGTGAGTTTTCTATAATTTCAATTCGTATTCATCTGGCATCTGTAATAGTACTATTAGTTGCGTGACACACAAAATATTCAGCTCAACACAAATGGCCCAAGAGAGGAAATGGCCCAAGAGAAGAAGCCCATTTAGAGAGATCAGGGTAAAAGCCCAACCAGAAATGTCATTAAATATGATGAAAACCCAAAAACAAAGGTGCTTGTCGCCCAAGCCTGCAGAA